TTCTTTATTTATCTTTAAAAATATTAGGAATGTTTTAATTCACCTTATGGGACAAAATATTTTTCAGAGTATGCAGAAAATATTCCACAAGGCGAAAGTGTGAAAACCCTTTCCGAAGCAGCAAAGGTGAATCAATCATACAATTTAAATTAATCAATATATAGATAGATAGATATTTTATTAAAGTTATATATTTGATTGACATTTTTGTTAGGAAGCCAAAGCATTTGTTGTTGGAGGTAAATGACCCACATATTTCGCTTCAAATAATTTGAATTATCTATTTAAACTTTGGTAAATGAAGGATCTATACCGGAACGAGATTCGTCTGGAAAGCTATATAATACTTGTACCGTGTACGATACTGGGGGTAATTAATTTCGATGTCTATTAAATCATTTAACCTTTTTAATTCGATGTATCTTAAGTTTTACCTTTTTTTTTTTTTAAAAAAAAAAAAATTTTTAATAGGAAATCTTATTGTGAAACATCGCAAAGTTCATTTATTTGATATTGATATTCCAGGAATGATAAAATTTCAAGAAAGTGAAACATTATCCCCTGGGAGTTCCTTGACACAATTCGAAACTGGTTTGTCAACAATTTATCGTGTCATCATAAAGACCTTAGATCGTTAAATAATACCAACTTTATATCAGATTATGGAAAGATTGGAATCGGAATTTGCTATGATATGAGATTTCCGGAGATGGCCATGATTGCTGCTAGAAAGGGATGTATTGCAATGATATATCCGGGTGCATTTAATCTTACAACTGGTCCATTACATTGGGAACGTAAGTTTTCCATTTATATTGTTTTAATAGTTTAACTTATTATTCATTTTATTTTGTGAAACAGTCTTACAAAGGGCTAGGGCTTTGGATAATCAAGTAGGTATATGCGAGAATTGTCGTTCGAGAATATGCACGATTAAGTTTCAAATCAATTTATCAAATAGTTCTTTGTGGCTACGTGTTCACCTGCTCGAGATATGAAATCAACTTATAATGCATGGGGCCATTCTACTGTGACTGATCCAAAGTAAGTTTAATATATATGGGGTCATACTTTTCTAAGTAATGAACGCTCGTTTCTCGTGTTCCAGAGATTCTCTAACATGTTAATTCATAAATTGTTAATAATGTTCTTAGCGGACAAATTGTTGCAACCGCGGAACATGACGAAGCAATTATTTATGCTGATATAGGTAAAGAAACATATTAATTTGTGTATTTTTTTTTGGTGACTTTAAAACATTTTTTTCTAAATTTTATTTTTTAGATTTGGAAAAAATTAAACAAACTAGACAAATGATACCAGTATCATCACAAAGGAGATTTGATCTATATCCTGATATCTCTGCTCATAAATGAATTAAAATTTAGGTTAATGATCGATTGTAACGTTCATTAATGATTAATTATAAACTTTTAATCCTGTAATAAAATTGATTGAATTAAATAAAGTTGGATATCAAATACGGGTACGTCCCCTTCATACACGACATTAACTGCATAAACCATAATTATTTGGGAATAACATTTTACGTGACACAAACCAAAATCTGATCAGGTTGATCCTGGAAATACAATAATCGGTTCCTAAATAATCTTTTCTGGGTAAATTATTAGCCGGAAAACGTTTAAAAACTTCCCAAATAGTCTTTATTGACCAATAATAAATGCTGATTTTAAATACTATAAATTAAATGGTTTGTTTAAATGATCAGACAAATTAAATACATAAAATACGATATTTAATTTTATATTATAAAATTATAGTTATATATAAATCCTTTCAGAAATATTCACTTTTTGAATTTTTTTTTTTTTTTTTCCCTTGCTTAAATCTTTTCATCATGAACTCTTTCAAAGTTAGCTTTAATAAATCTTTTCATAATAAGAGAAATGCAAATTCTCTTTCATCAAGTAAATTCAATATTAACACTTTAAATAGAGTTCCTTCAACTTCACAAACAACCAGCACTTTAACTGAATTTAATGGTATGCACTCCTCAGGAATTAAAACTACTAACGAAATTTCAAGCAATGAAGAAATTCTTTTGGAACCATATAATTATTTATTATCTCATCCTGGTAAAGAGATCAGAACTAAAATGATAGAAGCTTTTGACTATTGGTTTAAAGTTCCAAAAGATCGACTAAATGTCATAACTAAAGTAATTGAAATGTTACATAACGCTTCTTTGTTGTAAGTATTAGCTGTCATTTTTATTTTTTTAAAAAAAAAGCTTGTTTTAATCGCAAATGAAATTTAGGATTGATGACGTTGAAGATAGTTCTACTTTAAGACGAGGAGTTCCTGGTAAATTTCGATCACTTGAATGCTGCATGTCGATCTAAAACTTTTTATTTACCGTTACCATTTATTAATTGAATTAATCATAGTTGCGCATCACATTTATGGAGTTCCTGCAACTATTAATTGTGCCAATTATGTCTACTTTATGGCTTTAAGTGAGTTGGCCAAATTAAATAACCCTAAAATGTTCAATATCTATACCGGTATGTGTATGAAAAACATCTGCTACTAGAAAAAAATAAGCCTAGACTGGTTTCAGAAATTTTAATTAATGACTTTGTTAAACTTGGTAGAGGAGTTATTAAATTTACATCGTGGTCAAGGAATGGAGTTGTATTGGAGAGATACATCAACTTGTCCATCCGAAAAAGAATTCATTGAAATGGTCTCAGACAGTAAGTAATCGAATAATTTTACGGGGATTTTTGGTTTGCTGCGCCGTGAATTTTATTGTTTGATTTTTTCTTAGAAACCGGAGGATTGTTGCGTCTTGCTGTTAAACTTATGCAAGAAGCTAGTTCTTCAAATGAAGATTATATTGAATTAGTTAACCTCGTTGGAATTCATTTTCAAGTCCGCGACGATTATATGAACATGCAATCTCAAAAGGTAACCGCAGCAAGCTACTTGCTTATTAAGTACAAAAAACGTTCAGCTAAAAAATTATTTTCATTTATTTTGTTCAGTATGCTGATAATAAAGGATTTTGTGAAGATTTGACTGAAGGAAAATTCTCTTTCCCAATTATACATTCAATTCACGCCTCTGAGAATTCTAATCGTCAATTAATCTGTAAGTATCCCGAATTATTTCGTATTGAAGTTTCTTAACGATGGTGAAAAGTTAGTGTGTGAAACCTTGATCTTTGTAATCTTATTTCCTCACTTTGTAAATTTTAAAATAGATATTTTGAAACAACATACGACGTCAATTGATTTAAAGCATTTTGCGGTAAAAATCATGCAAGATACAGGTTCATTTGAGTATACAAAAAATTATTTATCTAAAACCGAAGAAAAAGCGAGAAGTGAATTAAAGAGATTAGGTGGTAATCCTATTTTGGAAAGAATTATGGATTCATTACATGTTGAATAAATAAAAAAATGGTTTACATAATTATAAATTACATACTGTTAATTATTTAGCCATATTATTTTTATAGATTAAGTAGAGTAGCAATTATTTCAATATTTTTTTTTTTAATTATTTTTTTAAATGATATAATTTTATAGAGTTCTAATTGGTCTTAAAACATATATTATTAAATTAAGAAAAATGAACAAAGAGCAAAGTTTGTTTGATATTTTTCATTTAACAACGGAATTTTTTGGCGAAAAAATTTTTATATAAACAAATACGATAAAGCTGTTAAAATCATAATAAATACCTTAACAAAAAATTTGGATGATCATGCCAAATTTGGATGTCAAGACAATAAACTTTGACGTGAAAAAAAAATCCCTCGCAAACATTATTTTTTAAATCATGATTTTTAATTTTGTTAAAAGTAATAATTTAACTAAAAGATCTAATAAAATTTTTTATAGAAATTTATTTCAACTTGCAATTGATGGTCCCGCTGCGTCTGGAAAAAGTAAAAATCATAACATTTACTCATTTAAGATGAAATTTTTTTTTTTAAAAAAAAAATTTCTTTACTTTTTTATTAGGTTCAACTGCTAGAATGGCGGCCCAACGATTAAATTTTGAATATATAGATTCAGGTGATTTTTTTTTTAATGAAATTGACATTTCTATTTAATTCAAGATAATTATTTATGAAATTTAATTCGAATTCGAATTTTGAATTTCTAAAATAGGGGCCATGTATCGAGCGGTAATGGATTTTGTTTGTTTATTTTTCTTTATTTCTCTCTTTGATTTGCATACTACTTCCTCTCTTCAATTGTCTTTCATTTTCTCTTTCGTTGGTGCCCAGGTGACGCTAGCAGCACTTCGTCAAAACTTATCACCAACCTCACTTGAAGATGTTTCAAAAATAGCGCAATTAGCTGCTACTTCTCATATTCATCTTCATACAACGTCTGAACCACCTCCCTTACCACTCACTCATTCTATGCCTTCCTCTTCATCATTACCGCAAACATTAGTTTACCTAAATGGAGAAGACGTAACAGATGAAATTAGATCACTGGAGGTAACGAACAACGTATCTGGCATAGCATCAAATCCGGATGTTCGGAATGTGTTAGTAGAGAAGCAACGCGCTTTAGCTAGTGGAATATACGACGAAGCTCACACCACTTCATCTATTACACCTTTAATAAGGAAATCGCCGAAAGGAACTGTAATGGATGGTAGGGATGTTGGCACCGTAATTCTTCCAAATGCCGACCTAAAGATTTTTGTAACAGCCTCAGCAAAAGTTCGTGCAACTCGTCGCTTTAAAGAACTTCAACAGCAATCTTATTCCAAGAGAATTTCGCAAATAATAGATTTTAATAAAGTATTGGAAGATTTGGAAAAAAGAGATAAGAGTGATTATGAAAGAAAAATATCTCCTTTAAAAAAAGCCGATGACGCTATATTCTTAGATTCTAGTGATATGAGTGTTACGGAACAAGTTGATAAGATTGTTGAATTAGTTCTAAAAAGGGCTAAAGAAAAGAATATTGATATTGATTTGTAAGATATAAGAGGAAGGAAAGGATATTAAAGAGGAGTTAATGATACATTAATATTTAAAGTAAATTTTTGTACAAAAGTGTCATATATTGATTAAAATTGAGATTTAATTCTACTAAAATTTAATGTAATCGACCCTATCACGCATACACTCTCTCTCTCAAAGTAAACCTTTAAATAAATAAAGTTAATAAAGTTGAAAAACGAAAAAGTTATCGCCAATCTAAACGTTCAATTGATTCTCTTTTCTGAAATTAGGTGCTATAGCCATTCGGCATTCTCCTAAAATTTGCCATCAAACGTTCGAAAACACCCAAAACATAATGACAGAGAGAAATGTTGATTTCCGTAGTGGAAAAAACATCTCGCACTTGATAAAGAGATGTGCTGATCATTTCCAAATTTTCTGATCGAGTGTATATGATAATGAAATTGGGAGGATTTCTAGGAAAATCAGGTTCCGAGAAAATTTTTGACTAAAATTAAGAGCTTAATGCATTTTAATCTATTAACATCAAAACTAAAATGCAATAAAAATTTCAATTTTTTTATAAAATTCTCGGGACCTGATTTTCCTATGTCTAAAATTTGAGAGGCTATCCGGAAAATAAGATTTTCATCTTTAAGCCAAGATCTCTATAACTGGGAGCAATTCCAAATAGAGAATTAGCATTAATATGTTAATTATTCAAATAAATTCGACAAAAGTAATTATTAGAACGTCTCAATTATACGGAAATTATTTAATTTATTGGATATTCTTTATTACCCACTGCTGTAATACATTTGTTTTCCTTGTTCTATCACAAAAAGTCCTTTTCTAATGTTTTTGTTTTTCTTTTTTCCAAGCAAATTGATAAATTTTTTTTTTAAAAAAAAAAATTAATAACGACGACGGATAAACAATAAATAACGCAATTAGCGTTTGCGATTAGTGTATCGTTCTAAGATTTTTTGTTTCATCCCGTTCACAACTTCATCGAGACTGTGGAAGCGGAATTCTTCAACACGGTAACCATAAGGTCTGAATATTCCCCGCTAATATACAAATTAATTACAAGGATTTAATCCACGATGTTTGATAAACAAGTCCCAATTATGAATAATACATACCATCTTCGACATATGAGCTCCTGGTCTAAATTTGTACCCGTAAAAAAAACAACCAGGGTTAGCATTATCCATGTAAAATCCATATGCAGTATATTTCGGATTATTTCGAAGACAAATATCTAAATATTCATCCAACTGTCGCTCTGTTGGTTTAAACTTTTGATGACTTATCAACTTATCAATAAAATCATTTGTATCATCAATATACGTGACTAATAATTCTTCCAAGGCTTCATATTCCTTTTGTTCGCCTTCCACAAATAATCTGCGACCAACTTCTTGACCAGGTTCCAATCCAATTTCAATAATATCTGTCAAGATATAATACTTGAGAAAACTTTTTTTTTTAAAAGATAAAAAATGAAAGGTAAATGATATCGAATTACCAAAATGACGAAAAACGTTATCATAAATCTTCCAAGTTATTGAAAGTTTGTCTGGATTATCAGTCTTTGGTCGAATTATGTAGAATCCATTTGGTTGAGTAGATAACTTTTCTTCGGCTTCTGAAGCAGATACTCTTTCAAAGCAAGAATGAGAAATGTGTCGTGGTGGTTTCGGCTTAGGTTTCGAAACATACTGATTGATTTTCTTAACTATGAATTAAAATTATATAAATGTGTATATATATATTAGCTAGTTAAAACAAATAACGAAATGTTGGGAGAAACTTACCTTTTACTGGAGGTTGATAATTCTCTTTGGCTTCTCTATCAATGAATTCTTCAAACTTTTCATTACGGAAGGATCTATGATTTCCTGTGTCCAAGTCCCTTGGTTTACAACTCAATATGATAGTAAAATCTTCCTTATTTATTGACTTCACTAAAGCGTCGAATGTATCACCTTCTTCAATATTATTATTCTTATCTATATAATTCCAACCAATGTTACATTCGAACCCCGAGTTTCTAAGACGAACTCTTAAAGCACCAGTTGTAACGGACCTGACAACTACCGGTACAATGAGACCTTGGTATAAACTATCTTTTGTTTCTTTAGTAACCATTTCGAAAACTTGATCAACTGTTGGCAACTCGTAATCCCGTCGCCTATCCCCAAAAGGATTCCTATTTTCTCTTTTGATTAACTGCATTAAGAAATACCTATGATTAGAAATTGCATCATTCATGTCAGGAGTATTTCTGGAGTATTTGCGTGCCAAATCATAATAATCGGGATGGATACGACTGTCGTCTAATGATTCCATACGACTGTCATCTAATGGGTCATTAGGATCAGGACGTATCCTTAGAAATCCAGCACAATTTTGGAAGACTTTTGGTTCGGACAGAATATCTTTCAACATAGATCGACTATCGATAAATGGTTCAAACTGCGGTTTGTAATTCTCGCCGAATATTAATTGCTTTAAATAGATGGACTTTCGAGGTCCAAATCCACAAATATAATGTAAAGCCCTCTGTTTTGGCTCATTAAACTCATCGTGTAATATATCGTTGATATCAACTCCCACCTCGTTAACTACATTTATGAATGCCCGATCTAACGCTTCCTTAAGTTTTTCTTCGGGTAAAAAGGATTGTAGAGGATGAAACTTAATAGACATTATTTTGTCTCCAAGCCTAAGATGTTCCATCAATGGATTTTGTACCATTCTAGCTAAAGATGTACAATATCGAGATAATTCCACCGACTTTGGGTACTCCTTTTTCGCTATTTCTGACGCGGTATACTCTATTGCAACCTTATCATCAATAACTGTTACGGTAACTTTTTCAGATGAATTATTTATTCTCTCGTTGTGATAACGTACAAAAGTCTTGACGGTCTGAAGTAAAAATTTCGTTTTAAAATCATAGCACCGTACGACGATAATATGAGGGTTGTGTTCTTCTAAAGCATTCAGGAATTCATTTCCTTCATTTGAGTTTAAATCCTTGAGCATAGGCCAGAACCATTCATGTATCTTTTTACCATATTCATTGATGTACACACAACAAGTATCATTATCCCTTCCACCGGCTCCAAATGATAATGCAAAAACGCGAGGTATTGCACTTCTACGCATGTCTGACGCTCTAAATGGCTTTACATCAATCTTCCTTTCTAAATTGAGCATACATTGCTCCATTATACATTGTTCGGCATTGACTTTGAGTTTTGCTATTATCCATGATTCAATATTTGGTCGTAAAATATCATTATATGCTTTATGTACAGCATCTATTCGATATTTATTCCACTGGACATGGCTATTTGAAGCTAGTGAAGTTTCTAGGTCGAACCGTCTTGGATTATCACTCACAATGTTATTTTTAAGTGTTTCCAAAAACTTTTCTTCGTCACGTAATTGAAACGTTAAATTTATCAATTTTTGATTACTATGGTATAGAATTCGAGCAAACTCGGCACCTATATTGAATGCTTTTTGGATTGGTATATTCCAAAAACAGTAAGACCAACACTCATTGTTACTAGGTACGTCTTTCAACGGACCTGAAGTAATCAAAAGTCCATTTCGCATATAACTATTACGAACAAATTTCCGAAACATAGGATCAAGTGAAATTTCATAGGCAAGTAATTCCGTGGATTGCCGTAATAATTCTTCAGGATCTCTGGCTTCAGGATAGAATTGTCGTATTATGTCCAGTGGAATCAAATTTTCGTTAACGGGCTGATGAAGTTTTGTTTCTGAAATGAGACTTTGAACGAATGAAGGAATTTGAACTCCAAATTTGTCAACTACCCTGAGGAGACCCTTGTGAATATATTCCAAATATTTAACATTCTTTGATACCATACCCTTACGGCGCAACTCCTCGGTTGGGGAAACTCTCTGAACACTAATCGTTCCTTTCCTTTCTTGAAATTTAATGTACACGTTCAAATCATAAAGTTCATCGATCTCTTTTACTTCTGAAAATATCTTACATATGTAAGAATTCTGGGAATGATTCTTAGAAATTTCTGAATTTATCTGATCTCTCTTTTCCAAAAAGATTCTGAAATCATATTCGAGATCAAAAATATACCATAAATCAGCTCGAGAAAGGACCGTTGATATGGGATCATCATCATAATTAGCAATCAAATCCTTTTTATAAGTCCATATGTATGGAACTTCTACAAATTCCTGACCAAAACATGATAAGACATTTTTCACGGCCTTATATAAATGCGACGAAGCTCGAATTCCATGATATCCTGAAATAGACTTTGTTACGTTATCTGTTGCTAGATTGATTTCTTCTCTTGTAAGTTTACGATTCACTATGATGTCTTGTCGAAGCTAAAAAATTTAGTGATCAAATTTATATAGTTAACATATTGAGAAATTATTTTTATAGAAGAGCAGCGAAACTCTAAAAAGAAACTTACTTGGAAACGCTCTGGTAAATCAGTAGTTTTTATCTCTTTGTCTTTGCGGGTTAAATAAGCTTCTGGGCTAAATACTTTTTCCAATGTTTCAATATTAAAATCAGGTGGCTCCTCCTAAAAGATTAATTTCAAAATGTGATAAGTTTTGCTAATAATTCGTGACAAACAATAAATTAATAAACTTACAATTTTTTCATAAGCAAATACATATTTCTCCTCAAGATCATTAAATACTTCTTCGAATAATGTCGGTGCGTGTCTTTCACCTTGGACGAAGTCCTCCCCATCGTCATAAACGACGAAATCCTCCTCGTTTTCTTCCAAAACTTCTTCTTCGTCTTCATCAAAAATATTTTTAACATCTTTAGACGGATTCCTTACTCCTCTCTTCAAGCGTTTGAATTTTTGCTTTAAAATGATACGGTAAAGATCATATTAATGATGAAATAATAATGAGGGTGCCAATAATGAAGAAATAGATAATGCACCTCACTACGAGCTATTTTCACGCCAGTGTTTTCTTCGATCAGATCAAGCTCATCCTCGCTTAGATCGTCTTCTGAAGATTCATGTCTTCTCTTCTTACTCTTCTTTTTCTTCTTTTTACGCTTCTCCTTTACTACTACTTCTTCTTCCTCCACCTCTTCCTCCTCCTCATCAACAATGAACCCATCTGCGATCTCTTTTGCGGCTTCGGAATCAGTTGATTCTTCTTCAGAAGAAGAAGTAAATCGATTTTCTTCGTCAATTGGTTCGCCGGGTTCCTCATCGGAACCTTTTTGTCCGGACTGTATATGATCTTCTTCCATAGTAAATAGTAATTAATGATTTTTGTTTGGGATTTTTAATTAGAGTTAATATTAGATTTGAGGTCTTGACATGTTGTAGTATGTGTAACGTAGGTGTAGAAAATCCCGCAATAAAAGTAGCAGTCACGTGATGAACCAATATTACATAAACAAACAAAAAAATTCCTTTGCATTTACAGACAGATCGGTACGCCATATAATATAAAATCAATAAGTCATTTTTTAAGGAATATTTTTTTATTATCGTTACCCTTTTGCAAATTATAAAATATTTTTAAAAGGCTGGTTTTTTGCTTCGGAGTTAAAAATAAATAATCATTAATCATTACAGCTCTCTCATAATAGTTAAAAAATTGAATAATTTTCGAGTCATAATCATGCGCCTTTTAACCTTTATAGGATGGTCCGTAGTCGATTTCGCGTGTAAAACCAATATTTGCATCACGTGATTATTTACGTTATCAACAAGGATGATGTCAAATGCTATGATTCTAAAGTAATATAAGAACCATTTTTTTTTTCCCCAAGGAAACAAATCTTTTTTATATTCGTTTTTTATTTTTATTTTTTTTTATTTGTTTTGACCTAATCCAATCCCTCTAATAAAATGACTTCTGATTCCACCAAACCGGGTGAAATTAAAGCCAATGTGCCAACACCTCAATTTAAAAATACGGAAATAAAGGCTTCAGCTCAACATCCTGATCCAAATGCATCTGTAGGGGAAAAAGCATCCTCGGCAATGGCCACATTGAGTTCTCATGCGGATCCTTATCCTCATTATTTCATGTCTGCCTTCTGTAAGCAACGATCGATTAAAAATGATCGAGCGTTAGAGATCTTTTAATATTCACGTCTTTTTCTTTTTATTTTGATAGCTGGAATGGGAGCCGTGTATGCTCATCGGAATATGAATCAACCAAAAACGGCTGCAGTAGCTGGTGTGATCGCGTTAGCATATGCCGCTTCTGGGTAAATCAAAATCGATTGATCTTGAAATTACAATAATTTTCTTTTGTTAAATATTTAACACTTACTTTGATTCGTTCATTACTTCAGATATCTTATTAATAAAGGAAATCATACTATGGGTTACAACATCGCCACATGTACACGTCACTTACATTTAATCTGAAAAATGCAAACCGTAATGAAGGAGTAAATCGTTTTTTAAATAATTTTTTTGTTTCTAGTGACGTCACTTGGTCTTCTCGCCACATCCGGGCCTTCAGCTTTTGCGACTAAAGACGCATTTCATGTCGCAATGACAAGTTTAGGGGCCGTCAGTACGGCAGGAAATTCATTGAAATGGTATCAATTGAAATCTGGTAAACCTAGAGACTTGGAAATTAATAAGTGATCTTAAGTAAGATAAAAAGAATTTTTTTTTTTTTGTCAAGATTTTCTTCTAGTAATTGCAAAAAAAAATCATTAAAATTTATTCGTTAGTTTTTGAGTTTTCAGTGATAAATTTATAATTAGAAAATGGTTTATTTTTTATAATGATAAGGTTCTAATTATTTATTTGTTACAAAACGATTTTGTATTCCAACCAAATAGGGTTTTTTTTTGAGAAAACCTTTGATTTTCCTTAGCCAAATACAAATAATCATAATATAAAAAAAAGAACGGCCCTCCTTTATTTGAAAAAGTTCATTCAGTCAGAAATATGATCTTTCACGTGTTCAAATATTTTGCAAATTTTCAAAAAAGTTATTTTTTTTTGGTTATAGTTAATTCTCATATTTTTTAATTGATTTATAAATTTACTAAAAAATAAATTCATTTTGACAACCGAAAAAAAAATTGAGTTGTGCGCAGTAACAATTAGAAATTAGAAGCCGACACCAAAGTACCACCACCATGGGTTAAAATAAAACATCATCGTTATGAATACAAGATTACTAAAGCGCAGACGCAGCATAATCTATCAGATCACATCTTTTTTTTACATTACATCACAAGGTCGCACGATTGTCGAATGACCTAATAAATAATAATTTATAATTCATTCCCGTAAAAAACCAAAAGGCGATTTTGGGTTTTACAGATTGTTCATTGGAAATCAAAATTAATTTCGTTATTTGACACGCGGGTGCTTGTTGGATTTCCACAGAAAAAAAAAAAAAAAACAGCCTTAAATCTTGACTAAAATTTAAACGGTTTCGTCTCTAACAAATTTTATCAAACAATAAAAAAATCAAAAACGCATATAATAGTTGCACCAATCTCTTATTCTTTTCTCATGAATGCCTTCAATATTTATTTTTCTATTTATTCAAAAAATAAAGTGAAGTTACATAATATGATAAAATATCATAAAAAATATCTTGTATATAATATTCATCCCAAGCCAAACGGGTAAGTCCTACACGGCCATCTGGCAACACCAAATCGATACTTTAGCAAAGCCAAGCTATTAATAAAGCATAAACTTGTGTCTAACTTGAATAATCAGCTAAATATTATACATAAAAAGAAAGGTTTTGGTGCGTTATTCATCACCCCTCCATTTATTTGATTGTGACAGAACGATGACATGAAAAAAGTTCGGAATCTCTATAACTGACGGAATCTATCCCTGTATTATCTAATCAATCAGTAAAATGTATTTCCGCGTTGATTTTTGTGGCTAAAATCATTTTCATTAAGAAAAACTCACTAAGCATGGCTTTCGAAGTTTTAGTACTTACCTCTTTTACTTATTGTGTTAGTGATCAGAAAATAAAAAAATAAAAAAATTTTCTCTCTCGACTCATTCTTTCTCTTGGCAAATCCTGACAAATACAATCCCATTTTATTTATTATCCCATCTTCACAACATTGTGCTATTAATATAATCTACATACCATTTTTTTTTTCTATTTCTTTTTCCGGTTCTCGTCCTTTGTTTGCCATAATTTCTCGATTTTTTTATTTTTAATCAAAACAAAAATATTGAACAAATAGGTAGTTCATCTTTTCTCATTCTCATAAATTTGTCTTTCTTTCGTATTAACGGATGAGATTTTGAACTCAATCATATTGATTGATTTCGACATTTTTAATTAAATTTTTTTTTTTTTTTTTGTAACATATTAGTTTGTTAGATTTATTTAACTTAAAACTTTCCTATATGATAATATAATTGTTTCTAGTTTATATTCTTTTTTTTTTTTTTAAAAAAAAAAAAGTATAAAAGTTTATCGTCTCCCTCGTTCTGACATTAATGAAAAGAAGTTTTTAAATTAATAATTCTCTAAGCCACATACAAACGGACTTATCAAATATATAGCAAATAAAATAACAAATTTCAACAAAAGGAAAATGGCTGTACAACGAATACAACATCATATTTTCGAGTTAGTTGCTCCGACCATTGCTTTAAGCGCCATATTCATCCTACTCTTTGGACCTTGTATTATTTCCTCGTGCATATATCTGGTTCCTGTTAATTTTCTTTATAACATATTTATACATATCTATGAATCATTTTCTTAAATTTTGTCACACTGTTCGAAATATTAAGAGAACCATTCGAAATTGGAACGCGTCACAAGATCAATCATCAACGCATAACCATAAAGAGGAGATTAAGAGTACTTCCACAAGTAATGGAAGGATAACGCCGACAAGGAATGGTTATGCGTCAGTGTCTACGAGTGATGATTTCGATTGCTATAATCGAGCTAATGAAATGGAGAGCGCGGATAAAATACATGATGCTTATTACATTCATGCTTTCGTCATTCCGAATTATGAGGAACCCGAACCATTATTAAGAGACACCATTAAGAGATTGGCACAACATAGGTATGATACCTTTACGATCTTTTTTTTTTTTCTTTTCTTTTAAATAACTGACGTCCCATGAATTGACCTCAAAAGAAATGCTACCGATCATTATGTTATCGTATTGGCAATGGAGGCGTCAGAGGTAGATCATCGGACAAAGGCTGATAATCTCAGAAGAGCTTTTGATGGATCTTTTCTTGATTTTATCATAACGATTCATCCAAAGGATTTACCCGGTGAAAGTCGAGGCAAGGGAAGCAACGTGGCATACGCTGCTAGAGCTACATGTGATGAGTTGGTTCGTAAGAGGATCGACAAAAGACGCGTTGTTTTCACCGTTACGGATTCCGATTCTGCTATTCCGGAACTTTACATCCGTCACGTTGAAAAGGCCTTTGCTGAATCATTTGATCCTTACGCGATAATTTGTTCCCCTCCTATCTTTTTCTCGAGAAACGCACTTAATGTACCTGCCGCAGTACGCGTCACTGACATCATGTGGTCTATAATGGTGATGCAAAATCTGAGTAATCGTAAGGGATTGGCGTTCCCTTGTTCGACGTATAGTTTAAGCATGGTAAAAAAAAAAAAAAAAAAAAAAGAAAAAATTTCAGCTCCAATTAAAATTTCTCTTTTTAAAATGATTTTTTTTTTTTTTTAAAAAAAAAAATTTGATCTTTCTAACTAATACTGATAAATGATTAAAGGTTCTTGCTGAACAAGTTGGATTCTGGGACACCGACAAGGACGCGATCGGTGAAGATTTGCACATGTGGCTGAAATGCTTTTTTAAAACCGGGGGAATTTCTAGAACGATTCCAATATACGTTCCTATAAATCTCACGAATGTTCAAACAACCGGTATATATCAAACATACACGCGCGTTGGGTTCAAGCAAAACGTCATTACAATGGAGTTGCCGATGTCGCTTATTCATTGAAATTTGCTTTCGGGGTTAGCAAGAAATCCCCGGATACCAAATCACTTTTGGGATCTTATTCCGGACAAAAATTTTTCATGTCATGTTCGTTAGCTGATAAGCTTACCGTTGTATTTCACGTCTTGGAAGCTCACATGATTCCTGCGACCTCAGGATGGATCATGTTTGCTGCTGTTCCTTTAACACAATTTTTACTCATATCCACTTATTCACCTTTATCAAATTATTATCCAAGTTTTCAGAATCCAATCCTAACTTCAACATTTTATTATTACATGTTTTGCCTTATACAAGCGGTTAGTATATTATTACCTATGCCTTTACTGATGTGCGCCGCATTATACGAAGGTTTACATAAGACTATAGATGTTGATTTGCTCAAGAAAAGTTCCAGTGAGACTAGAACATGGAGAAATGTTGTGGATTACGCTTGGCTTCCTGTGAGCGCTTGGTTATTTTTGACTTTGCCAAGTACAATGGCTTGTGTAAAAAGGTTAATAAAGTGTGAGGAACAATACGTGGTAGCTGAAAAAATATTTTCAGAAGAGCTAACACGATAATGGATTATTAAAATTTAAAAAGAAATTTTTAACTTTTTTTTTTCCCCGAGAATAATAGAATGGCATAAATTAATAAAAACAAAAAATCAAGGACTTTTTGTTTATTTATTAAATCAACTTCTTTCTCTCACTCTCACATACTCTCTCTTACTTTCCTTCTTTCATTATTATTATTATTATTATTCCGATGTATAAAATATTTATCTTTATCATTATTTTTTTTGTAATATTTTCATTCCTTGACGTACTTTAACGCAAGTTTTTTCGTTAATAAATTTTGAAGAGGTTACTTTCGGTCTTTTGTGTGTGTGTGTGGGGGGGGGGGGGGGGTTCCAACTTTAATTTATTATATAAACGATTAAAGTTAAAAAAATAATCATGTTTAAAACTTATTAATTTATAAAAAAAAAAACGTCGACTAGAATTTCAATTATTATAAAAAAATTTTTTTGTCTACCCTTTTTAACAAGGGACAATTTTTTTATAAAAAGCGCGTTTTAAACGGAACATTATTAAATAATAATTCGATGAAATAATGAATATCTATTATATATGAATTTTTTTTTTTTAATTACAAATGATTATCAAAACTTAAAATTATTAGTCTTAAAAAGAAGTCTAGTTAGTGTAAGAAAAGTTAAAAATAAAGATATTTATTACATTTTAAATTTAATCGTGTACTATGCTTTCACGTGATACTTTGCAGAGTACGATAAATATATAATTTTTTGATTATAGAGACTTTGCGTTACATGAAACACTATTTTCAAAGAGGATAATTGCTTAAAACTTCTTTAATGCGTGCGTTCCCAATGAAAACACTAATTATTTCATTCATTCTTCGTCCAAAAATCCAAAAGTAAAACCTTTCTTTTCTTTTTCTTCTTTATTATCCGATTTTATCAATTGATCCCATAACGATGATGATCTCTTGTCATTTTTCTTCTCATAATCATCCGATTCCAATTTATTCAAAATTTTAGGATAAAATTTCTTAAATTTTTCATAAAAATCGTCATGAATATTCTCACAATTAGGCCATACTAAATTAGAAAAACCAGATATTTGATATGGTTTATCACGAAGAAACGAAAGTACATTTCTTAAATTCCAAGTTCCAACAAAATTTTGTGTCTATTTTTGTTTAAAAAAATATATAGATATATATTAAATCATTAACGAATTATCACAAATCAAATAAATATAAAGATTCATACTATAGCAATAGAATCCTCAAGATTAATGACCATGTGCCACCATCCATTAGGTACAAAAATAATCTCTCCCGCTTTACAAATTACTTCTAATGGACGTAAATTTGGCTTTTGTGTTTCTTTATAGAAATTCAAGTGCCATTCCATTATTGATACCGGTGATGTTACTTCAGCTTCATCTAATATCAAAAGAAAATTCATTAAAGCAATGACAACAATAAATCGAACGAGTCATAAAAAAGAAGGGGAAATTTCTTTATGGGAACCAAATACCATCGCTAGTGAAGACTCCTGGAGGTAACACATCAGGTGGATACATTATCCATTTCTTAGAACCTGTTATAACAGCATTCCAAGCAGAAGTAGAATTTGGATCTTTATGAAACGTTGAACCTGAACGTGCCGGTCCAATGATTAACCACCTTTTAAAATATAACCCAACTACATAAGTAAATATTATTTTCTATTTCATTTTTTTTTTTCTTTTTAAAAAAAAAAGACAAGAAAAAGAGATATTTTTTCTAACCTATAATCGGGCCTATTCTCTCCAAATATATTAAAAAAATCTTCTTCAAAATACTCTGGTATACTAAAATCATCAATAATTCCATCACACTTATCACAAAATTCTTTGTCAAATAAATATAAAGGACTTTCATCCATTGTATCTTTACAGTAATCACCATAATTCCTTAATTTAATATCAATAGCTTCTGCACGAAATATAACATCTCCATATTTTTCTACAAGATATTCCATATTCCATTTTTCAAATGCTGGCCACTTTGTTACAACATCTGTTATAATAACAGGTTTATTGGGTATAGCATACTTTCTAATAAACTCCTCTAACTCTAAATTCGATCGTCGATCTATATTTTCAACTCCCAAGTACGAATCCATCCCCGTAGAACTACATAAAAAAGGTTGAAATAAAGTATCACTATAGAAATCAGTTAAATGTATTGCAGGTTTCAGAAATATATCTAAATTATATTCACTGCAAGATCTTTTTAAAAAGGTTACTCTCCAGCTTCCTTGCCAACACCAATCTCCCTTATATTTTTGTATAGTAAGTTGCTTCCATAAATCGTCAAATGTTGAGAAGCAATACAATACCCTACTCGCTAATCCCAAAGATAATAGATCCTTAGCATCTAAGGCTCCCAAAATATCTAGAATTAAATCATCTGTTAAGATTGCTAAATTTCCTAAACTAGAACCTCTACGATCTCCTTCGAAATTTCTACTTTGATCTTTTGAGTCAACATAATAATTTCCCCAAGGCTTGATGCCAAGTGGATGTCGCATCATCAAAACGTTACTTTTCTTCTTTTGTCGAACATGATTGTAATTCTTTGCTGTGTCAAACTCATCATCGATTTTTCGTTTATTAGATATACGATCTTGAGACAAAGTTGTATACATTGTTACATATAATTTTTTTTTTTTTTAAATTTGAGATTTAAAAATGGTTAATGCAAAAACTTTTTGTAATGCAAATGTCATGTAAAATGAAGATCGGAAAATTGTTCATGTAGTGTAACACGTCAAAAAAGTTTAATCTCAGATTATCGATTATCATCGAAATATAATATTTTAAGAAATGATTTTTTTTTTTAAAAAAAATAGTCATCTTTTACCCCCTACAGCAAATTTAATTATTTTTTTAAAAAAAAAAATAAGGAAGGAAGGAAGGAAGAAAAGAGAAAAGCGAACCTTTAAAACAAGAATAAACCTGAAAAGGTATTACAATACTAAAACACAAATCGCAAAATATCTCAATTTCCTGTGGCAAGTAAAGTTCTATAAAATTTCAATTAACCATTATTTTCAACATTTTAGATTGGACATTTATGGTGTTCTAAGCAACAAATGTAAATATATTATGATAGAACAAACAAATAAAAAGAAAAAAAATATTTTTAAGTATAATAGTCAAAAAATATTAAATTATAAAAAAAAATCGGGTATATAGTAAAAATTATAATTCTTTGAAAGCACACAATTTTATTATTTAAAAAAGAAAATTAAGGATAATTTTTGAATTCAATGA